CAATTTTCCGAGAAATTCCTAACAGTATACGGTTGATTTTGCTCATAAAAAAGTCTAAAATTAATTCTACTCAATGAATAAGCAATTACACTTATGTAATTTCTACGATAAGCATAAGAGAATCACGAATTACTCAATTTTTCTTATTGTTTTTAACAATTACATTCACAATGTTATATTTCCTTTTTATTTGCAAATTTCAGCGCTTAATGGGAGAAGATAAATAGTTCATATTAGCTTTATTCTTGATATAAAGGATTTAATTTTACGCCCCATACTTCTTTCGAATATAAATATTGACATATTATTAATAAGTTTATTTATTTTGAACTTGCCTCATTCTGATAAAACTACTACTATTTTTTCTGCAGGTAAAAAGCTTGGTTTATATTTGTCTAAAATTAATTTCTTCTCAATGCAAAAAATAACTCCACTCATGTCATTTCTCCAATAAACATAAAAGAATCACAAATTACTCAAGTTTTCTTATTGTTTTTAACAATTACATTCGCAATGTTAAATTTCCTTTTTATTTGCAAATTTCATCACTTAATGGGAGAAGATAAATAGGTCATACTAGCTTTATTCTTGATATAACTGATTTAATTTTACCTCCCACACTTCTTTCGAATATAAATATTAACATACCTTATTAGAGACAGAAATAAGTTATGCAAGATGGAAGCTCATTAGCAACCATTAGTATAATGTGGCCCAAATTCCGAAAACTTCGTACTTTCTGGCGCAAAATATATTTATCTCATAAATATGATCATTTATGCATGGATAAGTTATTCTTTTAAAAACAAGAAAACGAAGTTATTTGCTTAGCTTTAGACAGGATTCCTAAATGAATTAGAGGCAATTCATTAAGGTGAACCTCTAAACTAAATAAAAGTTTTGAGTGTTTTAGTTATAGTATGAAGAAATAAAATATTTCTTAAATGCTCTAAGATATTTTTTTATTAAATGTTAGGGGGCACGGTTTGATATGAATTTTTGTTTTATACCGATTTCAAAAATTTAGACTTCCGATTCAGCTTATAATTATTCTTTTAAAAACAAGAAAATGAAATATTTCATTGAATTTAGTTATGATTCCTATATGATTTAAAGACAATTCATTTTCAAGAACCTTTCACTAAAAGTTTTTGAGTGTTTTAGTTACAGTATAAAGAAATAAGAGATTTCTTAAATATTCCAAGAGGTTTTTGTTTTATCAAACGTGAAAAACGGTGTTTGACAGAAATTTTTATTTTATTTCGATTTTAAACATTTGGATTTTGGATTAGGATTATAATAATTTTTTTTAAAAATGAGAAAGAAAACTAAGTTATTTGCATAGCTTTAGATAAGATTTCTAAATGATTTTGGGATAATTCATTTTGATAAGCCTCTATACTAAATAAAACTTTTGAGAATTTTACTTATAGCATAACATAACAAAATAATAATTTCTTAAAAGAACTGTAAAAAGTTTTCATCAAACAATCGACATATATTACACGAAGATTTTTATTTTAATCAGATATAAAAAAGAATTAGATTTAAGATTTGGTTTATAATTCTTCTTTTAGAAACAATAAAACAAAGCTATTTAATAGCTTTAGACATGATTCTTGAAATATTTAAAGGCAATTCATTGTGGTAAATCTCTTAACTAAATAAAAGTTTTGAATATTTTCGGTATAAAAAAATTAAATATTTCTAAAATGTCATAATATATTTTTTATCAAATGTCAGAAACGTTGTTTGACAGGGATTTTTATTTCATTTCACTTTTAAATAATCTTGAATTTGGATTCGGCTTATAAATATTCTTATGAAAATAAGAAATCAAAGTTATTTGATTAGCTTTAGATAAAATTCCTAAATGATTTAGAAACATTTCATTTTGGTGATTCTCTATACTAAATAATACTGTTGAGTGTTTTATTTATAGCATAACAAAATGAATGAATTCTGAAATGTTCTGAGACATTTTTCCATCAAATATTAAAAAAATGTTTGTATTCTATAAAAAGTATTTTGGTAAAGAAAACAGTTTGATATTTACTGTTCTTTGATTTACAATATCGATTTTTGATTTTAACTACACTTAAATGCAACAAAATATACCAAACAAAGTAGGAAGGTAAAAGAGTATAGTTTAAGTCTATAAATGTAAATTGCGTAAGTAACGCTTATTCATAATTGGATTTCACCGATTCATATTAATTTGATTCAAAAGTTCTGGAAACTTTTGAGATAGTTGTTATTACAAAATTCAGTAATGTTAAATTTTTGAACGATATGTTAAATTATAAGGGTCCGTTGACCTTCTTTTTGATGTATTTCAATGTTTTCGAGGCTTGTTGCCATCGTTGTTCATGTAAAATTTTTAACATTTTATTTCTATCTACTTGCTGTTAAATTAAAAAATTGATGTTCCATTGTATTCGGCGATTGTGCCCATTGGCCTAGGCCGCTGTAATACTTTCCATTACCAAATGCAGAAATATTCATGTTTACAGCATTATTTAGCGTTTATAGTAAACAAGAAGATAATCATTGTAAGGAGATTAATATTAATTGTAATTTAAATTAATATCAAAGTTTCTGGTCAATTTCATCAGCATATTATTAGGACCAGCTTCATTCTTGTTTATAGCATTTTGAAACTTCCCAAATTTAGTGGCAAAATTACACGCGAGTTAATCCGTAGAGTTTCTAAGCCTCGGCGTAAATCACGTCGATGGCTGAGTTATCCTTAATTTTTTAAATTTTTTTCTATGTTTTTTCTATCAAAAACTTCCACGGTGAATATTGAATTTACAGAAAAAAAGTATTGAAATATTTTTCACATCGTATACACTATGAGCATTAATTTTCCGCATTTATATATATATATATATATATATATATATATATATATACACGAAAAATAATTTTTTTATCTAAAGGCTTTATAGCGCTTTTTGCATTATATTTTCTTGAGATTTTATTTTTTGCTTGATATGTTTTATTTTGCATTTTTTACTTAATTTGTTCTATTATTGTTTAGAAATTTGCTGTGGTGTTCCTCACACATATATATTGAAATATTTTGCCTTGTTTTTATTAATACAATATTAGAAAGCTCTTTTGCGGATATAATCGTGTCAGCTGATAACGAAATTATTTCTTTTCCTTATTTTGTTGCAGTGATTTTAAATTTTTTTATTTTATTTTATATTATTTATTCTTTATTATTTCTATATTATTTATTCTATATTATTTATTCTTTATTTTAATATATTTTTTCCGTTAAATATCTTTATATTTTTGGCATGTTTTCTTTATATATATATATATCAAAATGAAAAAAGCGTTTTCATGTCCAAAAATTCTCCAAGATAAGTAGTAGTTATTACGTCACCATTAAACGGTTGTAATGCCACTCAGAGTCAATCAATAATGACCTAGTTGAAGAGGACTGTCTTTAGGAAAGTCTGCTTAGAAGGTTTGCATGAAACCAAATTGTTATTGGCGAAACTAGAACACTAAAAAGGTTAAGAAAAATCAATAAGAGAAAGCATTCCTTTCAGTTTTCTTTTGAGTTTTGCATTTTTTGAGCCTATCATACGTGAAAAAATAAAGCAATAAAATAATAGATAATTGCCTCCGCAAGAAGGAGAAATGTATTGTAGGAATACGGATTTCAGTTTTAAATTGTAATTCTCTTAATTTGCATATTCTTAGAAACAAGTTGGCAAACGCAACTCTTTGTTTATGTTCACACGCAATGTGTTTATACTTAGATGAATATTAAAAAAAATATTTTTATGGTTATATGGGCTAAAATAGGTTCGATAATATAAATTTAATTTCAGCAATGTAAATTGTGAGTTAGCAATTTATGGTGCAATTATGTTTAGTATTTGTAATTCATGTTAAAATAAGTTTTTATTTATTTTTTTTTGTTTGGCATTAATAACTTATGGTGCTACTGAGTTTAGTATTAATGTTTTATGTTAGTAATTTCTGGCTAAATTGTTTTTTTATATTTATGTTTTGTTTTAATAATTTATGGTGCAACATATTCATGAAAACTAAGTGTTAGTTGTTGGTCACTACGGTACCGTAGTGCAAGTGCGTAATTAATCAGAGTTAAATGCCACTATTTAAGTTCATAAGCATTATTTTTCAGGAGAAAACAAAATATTTCTTAGATAAAAATACTATTTAAAATATTTAAACCAAAATCTATACAAATAAGTTTGACAAGAAGTTTGGCTCTGCTTATATATTCTCATTTTAAAATGTATTTCAACTGTGAACTATTTGAAATAAAAGGAAGCATATTGTTTTTTTATGATAAGAAATAATTAAGTTTTTAACTTGGTTGTTTTTATTTTTCTATATAAACCCTGGTTCATATTGAAAAAAAGATGTAAATATGGAAAAACTGATTTGGGAAAGTCACTGGTCTGTATGCAGTTTTGGTTAAAAAACAGTAATTCTGGTAAAAAAAACAAAACAAATTATACGGTTATTATAAACCATTTATTTGGTAATTTTACCGTACATATATGGTTTAAAAGAAATTATGGTTTTTAAATTTGTAGTTCTTAATACCAGGCATTTAGTGAAAAATTCAAAACTAAAAAATATATTTAGCGGAAAAAATGATTTTCAAGTCATGCTTTAAGTATAATTATAAAATTAATACATTTTACTATATTTTCAAAATTTAATCACATATTATAAAATGATATTCTGGTATTAATATTACCAAAATAATTACCAAACACTTCAGCAAAAATTATCAATCGTATTGTTGTTTCCATAGAGCCAGAAACGTGGAACATTTTACCATGTTCTGTTAGTCTTGACCATGTTTTTTCACTGTTTGGAGAATATATGTAAAATAATTTATAGATTTTTTAATAACTTTGTTATTTGTTTGGTTTTAGGAATATATTTATTCATAAACAAGAAATAATTTATTCAACTTTCAATATAAAAATTAAATTACCCACCTTCATTATTGCTCAGAACTTTAAGAAACATAAAAGATTAACCGGCATCGTGGAGGCTTGGTAAATACTTTTCAAAATAATCCTTGAAATAGATATCCTTAAATGTTTTGAACAAGTCTATCATATTTAGAAAATGATCTTTATTCTTCATAAAATAACATTTTTGAATTAAAGACAGTAGAAGACTTGAAACAATAGAAGGAATATTCTTTTAATTATTTTTTTATTCATCTGTCATTTCATTGTTTCTTCATTGTAAAACTTCGTTTTGTTCCTGAAAAAGAGATGAAAAACTTTAAAATAGCTGTCAATTGCAAATGTCAGATGAATATTAAATGTTAAAAATTAATTGTTAAATAGTTATAGACAAAAATAAGATTTTATGTTCTAAGCTTATTTTCAAATTTCGAGAAATAGAGGAAAATAAAGAACAATAGATACTTAGAATAATATGTGAAATATACTTAGAGTAATACTTAGAATAATTTGTGAAATATTAACAGCATTATTTTTTATTAACAGAGTAAGAATTTTTCAATGTTCTTCTCAAAATATTATGAATATTTCAATGTAATCATTGGAAATCACATTAGGTATTTTTGTTGGTGCTGTAGTCTGAGGCATGTAAAAAGGTTGATTAAGCATGCATTTTGTTCCAATGCATGCCTGACCAGGTATCTAAATATTTAATCAGATGACATAAAATGCATTTTAAACATCTCGCAAAATCTTAGCAAAAATTGGCAAAAATATTGAATATAATGGATAGACATTGCTTTTTTTGTTGATATTAGTGTCCTTTATTTACTCAATCAATGCTTATTCACATTAAAAAGAAAGAAAAAATACAATAAGAAAAGCGAAATATTTCCAGCAGTGTTTATGTGTAAAAAAATATTTGTTTTTAAATGATGCATAGTGTCTTTTTAATTTAATACTTGTTTTTAGACTTTAAATCATTTTTTGTCAAAATTTTTGAATGCAGTGGAAAAATTGTGCTTTTTTATTGATAATAATGTCCGTTATTTTTTTCAATCAATGCTTAATCATAAATGAAAAAAAAACATTAAATGTTACAAAACATTTTCAGCAGCACTTATTTGGGAATAATATTTGTTCGTAAATAACACCTATTTTTTAACTGAATACTTCTGACTTATAATTAAAATAAAAGTGTTGGCGCAGGTACATAATGTTATTTCAACCGAAAAAAAATACTGAAACTATTAAACAATGTCAAAAATATTAAACCTTTTCGGACAAAACTTTTTAATGCTCATCTTAAAATATTGTAATCATTGTCACGTAATTGTCACGTAATCATTGTAAATGCTATAAAAAAAACAATATATATTTCCTTTTTGCTTGTGTTATAGTCCTGGAAAAGCAAGAACTTTATCAGATAATGCAAAATACATTTTAAGCGTTTCACGAAATTTTAGTATAAAATGTTAAACGTTATGCATGCGTTGAATAAGCGGTACTTTTTTTGCTTTTATTTATTAAATCAAAGCTTATTCACTAGAAAAAAAGAACTAAAAAATATTTCCATCAAAGCTTAATTGTGAATACTATTGTTTAAAAATAATGCCTAATTTTTCTTTCACTTAATACTTCAGAAATAAACTTAAAATGAAAGTTGGTGTAGGTTTATAATATTATTAGTTGATTGATTTATAGTAGCAAAATTCATATGTTTTATTATAAATTATTCGAATTAGCTAAATTCATATGTTTTGTTATAAATGATTCGAAAAATAAGTTTGGGCATGTTAAAATTTCTTTCCGCCGTGTATTTCGCAAACTAACCAACTCGATAGAGCTTGTTCATATTTTGAGATTTTTTGAGTCATGATAATCTTACAAGTTTATTTTATTTTTTACGAAATTTACTTGAAATAAAAAATAACTTCCAAAACATGAAAAGAAATTAATCTTGGATCAATAGCTATTTAGATATAATAAAAATAACAGCAAAAAATATAATTTATGGGAGTAATTCTATATTCCATTAAGCTTTTTCTAAAAAAATACAAATTTATTTTTTAAAAGAAATGAATACATTCGTGATAAAAGCTATAAAACATATTCTATTACAAAACTTTTTCTTAATATAGTATTAAATAGCGGGAACCAATATAATAATTTCATAACGAAGGTAATAAATTACAAAGCGCAGAACTCATTCTATACTTTCAAAAATATTTTAAGCATAAATTTTTAAATGGAAAGTAGTGTTTAAGATAGAGTCACAGAATCTTTGATGTCCTCAAATTATTATGTTTGGACTAAGTATGCTGTAGCGAGAATCATAAAATTTCTTTTAAGGGCAGAAAATGAAGCTAGCCTTCCATTTAACATGTTTCTGGCATAGCTACAAACAGTAACGTGATATCCTACAATTTATAGCATATGCTTTGAATAATAAAGAGGGATAGGTTAAAGTACGTGAACCATTTGAATTTAATCATTGATAGAAATAATAATAGTAGTTAGGTCTAAAGCAAATACAATTTTCTGAACTGTTTAATATTTCCACCAGCCATGTAAATAAATAGAATACAGAACAAATGAAACACTTTTTATGTAAAACATGCAGTATATAAACTTTTATTTTAAGTGAATTTATTTTAAATTATAAATGTCCGTTATACTAGTTTAAATAATATTTTTAAAAGGATCTAAGAACGTATTGTTTTACTATATTATATTATATACTATTATATCATATCATATATTATATTATAATATATTTTATTATATTATATTATATTACATCATATTATATCATATTATATTATATTATATTATACTATACTATACTATACTATATTATATTGTATTATATTATATTATATTATATTATATTATATGATGTAATATAANTAACTATGTTATATATATATATATATATTTATTTATTTATTATATTTTAATGACGTTTTGTGCCTTGTTATATGTAAATGTCTTATTACTTATTTTAACAATATTTTGTTAAAAATCTTTTAATAATGATAGTTAAGTCTAAAACAATTACGATTTTCTGAACAGTTAAGTATTTCTTTCTACCGCATAAAACAAGAAGAATAGAGAGCAAACGAAACACATTTTATGTAAACAGTGCTCTGTATATACATTTTTAAAGTCAATTTATTTTAAAATATAAATATCCATTTCACTGGCTGTTTTTTGATGTTTTAATGGTGTATTGACAATTTTTACCTGCTTATGCCCTAGTACTTGTTTTTTTCCATAAATTTTTTAATAATATTTAATTAACAATGTTCGTTTACAGTACCGTGCTGTCCTACAATTTATACCACATGCTTTAAATAATAAAAAAACCTGGTTAAAGCATGCAAACCTGTTGATTTTAATTATTGATGGAACTAATAATAGTAGTTAAGTTTAAAAAAATACGATTTTCCAAGCAGTTTAATATTTATATCAACCTTATAAAATGAATTGAATACGGAATAGACGAAACGCATTTTATGTAACAGTTACACTTTGAATATTTCATTGTGGCATTTATTTTAAATTATAAATATTAATTTTACTAGTTACATTTTAATGCTTTAATGATGTATTGTTTATTGTTATCTGTCCATGTTAATGTAGCAAATTTAAATAATAGTTTAGTTATTAATATGTTTAGAACATTTTGCAAAATTAATATATCTTATATCATTTGTATACATGCCTGAATTGCACTAGTATTATTCTTGTAGTTTTAATAATATCATGTTATTTAAAACTTTACGAACATATAAGTGTTTTATTTAATAGTAATCTGTTCATTACTATTGTGCAAGAGAAAAACCGTACTAAGTGTGTTCCCTCAATACGGTAAAGCAACCAGAATTCTATCGCACCAGTTAGGCACACCTAATGAAGCCACTTAGTTTTTTCAGGAGGGTAGATATTATATCCGAGAATGCTAATCTCTCAACCACATGGCTGACAGAACTAGGGATTAAGTCCCAGCGTTGACTCTACAATATTTCTTCCATTCCCTGTAGCACCTGAAGAGTTCGAATTGTCCTGCACTTCCCAAATTCTGACCCTGGGCTGTTAAAATACGGTGTTATCCTTCCCGCATAGATGGCAGCACCATACAGCTTCTTAACTATCTCCAATGTTCTATTATTTTTAAGGTTTTAAAACCATACCATTAGTAAATGGTTAAAAACCAGCATAGTTTTGTATTCGCGTTTTTTTAACCTATCAGTTGTAAGTATTTTAAAAGCCACTAAGTTCAAAAGGCTGTTTACCATAAGCTTTACGGTTAGTTGGATGAACAGATTGCTGCCGTTTATTTTACCATTATTTTAGAATTAAAATTCTAACAATATATTATGTTGAAGCCTTTCACTTCTGTTCTCTTATTGCACAAGCCGAAAACGATAAAACACTTAATTCCACATGAAAAATTAGTGTAAAATTTTTTGAAAGCATAGAATGTATACTGGACGATAGATGCAATAAAAAAATGAATAATATTTTTCTGCTGAATACTCGATTTAAATTTGAATGCAGAGGAAAATATATTTTTTGAATAAGGAGGGAAAATATACAAACAATATTTGAACGTTATTTGAATATTTGAATAACTTCACAAAGCGGAAATCATAATAAAAATAAAAAAAATAGTCATGTCGGCTTTAAGTCGAACTCTTTCGATAAAACCTTATTTTTGTATTCAGTACCTTGCATACACTGGTATAGGGAATCAGATCGACGATCTAGTATTATAATAATAATAATAATAAAAACACACATCAAGATACCAGAGTTAGTAAAAATTCACGTAAATAGTTCTTAAATAGAGGGAGATAAGCAAATTTTGAAAAAAAAAATACGAATGGCCTGTTTTAGGTAATCTTATGCTTTGTAAAAAATATATGTTTGTATCTAGAGCGCTGTTTCTCATATTACAGCTAATTAGGAAATAAAAAATACAATATAACTTAAAAAGCAAAATAAAAGTGAGTTCATTATATTTACAAAAAGAGGTTTTTTTGCCTCTCCATAAATGTATTTTTTATCCACTTTCGCATTACCAAATGTTAATTTATTTGAAATGTGAGCATGGTATAAAATTATCGCTCCATTTTGTCTTATATGCAGGCTTAGATTAAATTAGAATTATTTTATTAATTTTTAAATTAATTGAAATTTAGTTATTAATTATTAAATTGTAACGGAATTAAAAAATAATATTTGACCCAAGAAAGTGCTGGTTTCAAGTTTTTATTTTATTTTAATG